CGAAAAACAGCGTGTTTCTGCTTCCACTCAAAATAGGCATTTTCAAAATGATATAATAAATGATCTGTGGGGTATTTTGAGCTGAAACTTTACAGACACATTCTGGGGACACCAGAGACTTATATTACATATTTTAAAAAGGGGCATAATATGTCTCCTTTAAAGTAAGTTAACTTTAAAAAAAAAACGGTCTCGAGGCCTTGCGTTTTTCCCCATTCCACTGCCCATGTCTTGAATTTTTCATAGACAAAAATGTGTTCTGTGTGAATGGCCCCCCTTTTATTTGTGTTAAAACTATTCCTTTAAAGCTATAAATATATGAAAATAATTACAAGCTACCAATAAATCATATAAGCACACTAGGTTTCGGGAGTGTCAACAGTATTTAAATACGCGAGCAAATCTCCTAAACTATCGTTTTGTGTGTCAACGAAACACTAATCACTCCTGAAGTTGCGTTAATTGTCACCATGGTAACCATAGCAATGTTTCGCCGTCTTGCGCATTTGGTATCCACTATTTTTGCATGATATTACAGCAAGTCGTTGTGTTTGGCGATCTTAATTAAACCGCCGTCGACAGCGCCATCGTGACTCGTGTTTTGTTTTTAGGCCGCTTCGCAGAGTGTGCTCTTGTATTGTTGCCATAAAAGCAATTCTTATGCTTATGCAATTCTTAAGACGCTTAGTCTTTGTTGTTTGGGCTTGGCTCATAAGCGATCCAGCTTATGGAGTTAATAATGTAGCCTACATAAGCAGGTGCAGGTTTACAAGATACGTACCAAATAGTTCTTTTTTTCGTTTTTGTTTTTTTCTAGCAAGATCTGGCAACACTAATGAGTCGAGACATGCCTTTGAATTTTAATGACATTACACCAGTGTACTTCCTTTGACCCTACTGGGCATCCGTGGCATTTTTACATGACTGCCTGACTGTCTCCCCTCCACCAAAACTGTGCGTCTGACCGGCTGCCTGTCTGTTTGGTGGACATCTGCTAGGAAGTTAAGCCAATTTTGTCTGAAATTACTGTAACTGAATCACTGTGTTGAGTCCAGCCTTGTCCCAGTACTAGAAGAGGATTATGGGTGATTTCTTTAAATCCACTGGTAAGACGGAAGTCAAGACGGAGAAAGAGAGCTCTCAAAACGACCCCTAACATAGGGTCTAGGCAAAGCTCACAAAAACATTTCCAGGACACCTCAAATCAAAACAGGAAACTTTTTTCACATAAAGAAAATTAGGCCCATTATTAAAGGGATAATTCACCCAAAATTTTAATTAAGTCATTATTTACTCATCCTTGTGTTGTTCTAATGCCATGTCGTATGCCCTTCTTTCCTTTTCGGACCACAAAAGGAGATTTTTAAAAACAATATATTCCACATGCTTGTCCATATAATGGCAGTATATGGCGGTCGACATCAAGCTTTTAAAAAAGACGCAAAAGTATCACAGAATGGTCCCACGCTACACGTGCCTTATATTCAAAGTGTATACAGGTATACAGGTATATTGGGTTTGGTGTGAAATAAACCGAAATATAACATATTATTTAACAAACATCCTGACCTTAAGTTTTTCAAATTTTTTCCGGATATGTCCAGATGCTTCAGTTTTATTTTTTTAATCTCCCCTTATTCTTAAATTTATTCAAGGGATTTTCATTATTCTGTATCATTCAGTGTCATTTTGAACTGTATTACAGTGAGACGTAATATTTTTTTCTTCTTTTTAGTGAAGTTGAAAACAGTTGTGGCAATTGTTTTTAACATGTCTTTACCACCACTTTTGATTAATTTACTGTGTCCTTGCTGGATATATATATATATATATATATACACACACAACCCAAAATCTAAAGATTTTTGTGAGAGTCTTGCTTCAGTTTTATTTTTTTAATCTCCCCTTATTCTTAAATTTATTCAAGGGATTTTCATTATTCTGTATCATTCAGTGTCATTTTGAACTGTATTACAGTGAGACGTAATACAATGTTACACTGTAATACAATTATTTTATTTAAAACGGCACAGATTTAAGGCAGAGCCACAAAAAATACCATGATTTAGAAATGTACAAGTAAATTTTAATTAATGGAAATATGTTTGCATATACATTAATGAGTAAAAAAATTGCTAGTAAAATCATTGCTGTATTAAACTCATTTTATAGAAGTATGCCAAATATGACAATATAGACATTTTAAAACAGTAATAATGAGATTTTTGCATTAGGGTAATGAATGTATTTATCATAATTACATGCAATACAAAAAAAAAAAAAAGATTATATAAACACTATTGATTAGTAAGATTTTTATGTTTTTTGAAAGAAGTCTCTTATGCTCACCAAAGTTGGATTTC